CGGACTTTTCTGTCCAGAGCGTTCAGTTCGGTCAGAGTCCACCTGAGCATGCCAAAGGTATACATGAGAACAGGCATGATCCAACCGTTATATGCATGTGTCTTATTAACGCCCGACAAAAGACTGTTAAGCACTTTTGTCAAGCGTGCATAAAACACACCGCAAACTGACCGTTTCATGTCCGCCTCATCGATACCTATGTTCTGTGACATACCCAGGTATCGGTATGTTTCAGCCTCGGATAGGGTCTTTATGTTGACGGGCATAGATAAGTCTATGCCCTCAGAGTTAGCAACCCTACCCCTTTCGACATGGAGGACCGCACACTTATCCGTCCCCAGCTCCATTCTAATAGAATTGCTAAAATCACAAGTGATGTTTAGCAATTCCATAAGATAAGAGCGACTGGAGGCGAATAACTTGAGATCATCCATATAGAAAAGGTGGGTCACTTTTGTACCTCCTCTCCGAAGCTGAAATCCCCTCCCGGAACCCTCCAGTAAGGTACTAAGAGGGTTCAGAGAGAGGCAGAACCAGATTGGACTCAGACAATCGCCCTGGAAGATACCTCTTCTTATCCTTATTTGGTTCTCCGCAGCCGTCATCCGCTCGCCTACATGACAAAGGATCGTACTCCACTGCCCCATACACTGCCCAAGGAAGTCTCGAACTGTACAGTCAACCTTGTACAGCTCGAGGACCCTCTTCAGCCATGTATGAGGCACCGAGTCGAATGCCTTTTTGTAGTCTATCCAGGCGGCGGAGAGGTTCCGACGGTTGCGTTTAACCACCTTGCCAATGACCGCAAAAAAGAGGAGTGGTTCCTTGGTTCCACGACCGTCGCCCCGACATCCATTTTGAGCGCGCGACATCATCTGATTTGAGTTCAGGTGACGAGTGATTCTCGCGCTCAAAATGGATGTCAGTGTCTTGTATATGGTAGGTAGACACGTTATGGGGCGGTATTTGCTCGGGTCTGTGGAATCTCGGTCTTTAGGAACCAAATGAGTGATCCCAGTAGTGAAGAGGCTCGGGAGCGACTTTTGGTCGAGAGCCTCTTGAAACTGTCGGGCGAGAACAGCGTGACACACCATGAACCCCTTCAGCCAGTAGTGATGCAGTCCGTCGAGTCCCGGAGTTTTCCAGTTCGGAGCCCTACGGACCGCCTCAGCTACGTCATCCGGCGTAATGATGACGGGGTCCATGGGCGTAACATTCGTACACTGACTCGCCACATCTTCCGTCCAAGGGCCCTCACTGTGGTTTACGGGCTCTGACCACAGGCCACGCCAGAATGCGATAGTGTCGGCCTGATTCGGTGCTGGGCCCGTTCCACGTACCATTGGTCGCTCCAATGATTCATAGAGCCTCTTCTAATCACTCTGGAAGAGACGATTCTGGTTGAACGGTGTCGACCTCTCGGTATATCGCCGAATCCGCTTCCCCCAAGCAGCGATTCTCTGCTTCAGGTCGTCTATGCGCTCCGTCAGTTTTTGCGTTATATCCGGCTGGGACAAACTGATATTTGTCCCAGCAAACGTCATCCTGACGGTGCGCACAATTCTCGGCCTATTATTGCCCGACCTGAAGCTTATCAGCCTGCCGATGAGGGCCCTTGCCTTTGCAAAACGGTCCTCAATCCTTCTTCTCCAGGCTGGGATGGCGCTACTTTGTCTAGTAGCGCGTCCAGCCTTGGGAAGTTTGGCGCCAATAATACGGCAAACTGCCAGTGCGGCGCCAAAAAGAGTTGAGTCCGTCTCGCAAAGGTCCCGGCTGGCTTCCAAATAGGTCACCAGCATTGGGTTGAGAGCCCTCACGACAGCCCGATTCCGCTTGCTTAGGGGTATACGGGGAAGTCGCGGTCGATTCTCGATAGGCGTACTGCGCGTTTCCCTAATCGCCTCTTCCACTATGCTCCTCATTTGCTCTAGTTCTGTGGCGACTATTCCATCGTCGCCTGAGTCAACTACAAGGAGATCTACGGCGGCATCTACATGTGCGTGTTGCTCTGCAACTCGTAGAGCCGCATCTCCGGTCGTAGCATTTTCATTCGACAAAGGAATAGCCTCACGTCGTAGCCGTTCGAATTCGGCGTCATCAAATATTTTTGAGCGCATGATGTACCGAACTCGGTCTGCCAGGTTTTGCTCAGTAACAGTAATAGATGGCTCCAGCTCAGCAAATAGTCGGTGCATCCTAGCCCGATACCCAAAACCTCCAATTTCTCTCCCTTTCGCCCCAAATTACGCCCGCAATGCATTTTTATTCATTTGCATTGACCAACGCATGCGGCGTACTCCACCAGTGGCGGATGCTGATTGCTGGGCCAACGAAGACCCTGCCAACACCAAGCCAGCTGGTGGGGATGATGGATGCGAGGGGCTGCTGGGTGATCGTGCAGCACCTCGCGGTCGACTGGCGATTCGCATGCTGCCGCGTCCAGCACCAGCTCCAGACGCGCCCTGGCGACCTCCAGGCAGCGGCCCTTTGCGCGTATTTCTTAAATCCATCATCCATGAATTGGGCGTCAGTTAACGGGAGACGCCCAGACCCGGCACCGTTTCATGGTGAGGCCATGTGCACAATCGGGCCTTTGCACCTCCAATTTTGCCGAGGCACGGCGCTAACACCTCTTAGCAAGGTGCTGACTGACTGCGCTGACGTAGCAGTTTTGTCACATAACCGTTACGTCAGCGGGCGATGGGGTCGTCACTTCCCTACGCCATATTATTATTATTTGGGGCATCTATATAGTTTACTCATCTAGTTGGGCTGTATAAATATATAATTGTAAATGAAAATGACAAACATACATAAATATCAACAAAATAAAATAAATGCATAAAAAATACATAAATAAATAAAAACCCAACCAGATGGAAGCCCTCGGCAGGGGAGACCAAACGGCCGAGGGTTAGGGGGAAAGGGAAAGAAACCGGCGGACGATGCGGGCGGTATCGAGGAGCACCGCCTTCTGCATTTGAGCTTGGAGCGGTCCGTCACGGAGTCCCAGTCGCCTCAGATGACCCGAGAGGCTGACTGGGATTAACCCGTTCGCAGAAACGACTACAGGTATAATTTAGGCCGGCAGTCCACCCCACATGTCGGTCACCTCGTGAGCCAGGTCCAGATATTTTGTTCGCTTATCTGTTTCGGCTTTCACGAGGTTCTCGTCATACGGAATGGTAATGTCGACCAAAAATATCCTTGACTGTGCCCGGTCCATCAGCACAATATCAGGCTTATTCGCAAGAATGGTCCTGTCTGTGATGATGGCCCGGTCCCAGTAGAGCCTGGCGCGGTCATTTTCGAGCACGGCTTCCGGCATGTACTTATAATAAGGCAGTTTCCGATCCACGAGACCGTATTTCAGAGCGAGCTCCTGGTGTAGAATCCTGGCTACTAGGTTGTGCCTATGCAAGTACTCAGAGTTACGAGTAGAAAGCGCCAAACAACCGGAGATGACATGCCTAAGTGATTCACCAGGATGGCGACAAGCTGGACAAATGGCGACGGTGCCATCCCTTAGGATGTTGTATCTCCGATAGTTGTTGGTCTTAATAACCTGATCCTGTATTGCACAGACAAAACCCTCGGTTTCCCCGAAGAGGTTACCAAAACGTAGCCAGTGGAGGGAGGCAACTGTATCTACGAAAGGCTCATGTAGCGTTCCGTAGATACAGTTACGTACGTACAGGCAGTACAGAGCATTTTCGATCGGTCTCCCGGTCGAAAATGCTCTGTACTGCCGGGTCTTGCCATTGCTCGTTGGCTAAGGATAGAGGGTAAGTCCTTTATCACAAAAAATAACGTCCCTATAGAATGGATCATCCGCTCTCGACAGAAAATAATTACGGAGGCTGCACACTTCGCGATAATGCAGGGTAAGCGCGCTTAAAAAGCCGCGCCCACCATGCTTCCGCGGCAAGTACAGCCTCATTACCGACGATCGTTATTATTATTATTTTTCTTTTTTTTCTCCTTTTGGGTTTACAACTCTTAGATCGGCTTTTAGCAAGATGCAAAGAGGTTGTGTTTTGTAGGGCAAGATGCTTTATTATTATTATTATTATTTTTTTCTTTTCTCTTTTTTTTCTCCATGTAGGGTATTATGATGATACGGGCTTTAAGCCAAGTAGTCATCATTTGCTGGTATTATTAATGTATTATCCAGAGCAGTTTCTGGGATTTGTAAAAATTTTCGCACTAAGCGACATGTATTTAAAATAACTGCTTTTTGCATTTTAATATATAAATTTGAGGGTAAATCTAATAACTTAAGGCAGTGATGCAAATATTTTGGTATTAATCCTGTAGCTGAGAGTACAATTGGGACGATGAAAACTTTATTTAATTTCCATATTCTTTTTATTTCTTCGCTCAGTTCGTTATATTTACTAATCTTTTCGGCTATTGTTTTTTGAATATTATGCGTATTTGGTACAGCTATGTCAATTAGAAAGTAAGTAGTAATAAGAAAAATTATTATTATTATTATTATCACTTTCATTAGCGCTCCTTTTCGGGGTTTTAGATGCGGCATCGGCTGATCGCAAGATCCCGCCCTTTATTCCTTAAATTGAGAGGTGGCGACGTACGATCGCTGTCGTATCCAAGATTACGGCTTTTTGTATTTTGTTCCTCACCCTCACTGAGATACCTAGCTTCGCTAAGTTCTCAGTAAGGGATTTAGGAACAATTCCCGTGGTGGAGAGAATCAGCGGGATAATATGGACCTGCTGCTGCCGCCTTAACTGTCGTATTTCTTCAGCCAGCCGCTGGTATTTAACCATCTTTTCAGTGGTGTATTTCTGCACATTGTGCGAATTTGGAATACCAATATCCAACAACCATGTCCGCTTCTCCTCTTTTTCTACTAATATTAATTATTATTATTGTGATAGGGAAAACATTTCTGTTTCTTAGCTCTTTGGCTAGTTTTTACTGCACATACGGGCCGAAGCCAAGTAAATGCAGCATGGAGTGAGTATTTATGTAGGTTATGTGTTCTGGGTAACTATTTCATTTTCTTCCAATTGCATGAATTTTCTTACAATTCGACAGGTATTTAAAATTGCGGCTTTTTGGAGTATAATATATGTTGAGTCTTTCAGGTCTATTAATTTGAGGCTATGGTGGAGATGGTTGGGTATAACGCCCGTGGTGGAGACGACTATGGGTACTATATAAACTTTATTTTGTCTCCAAATTCTGGTCACTTCTTCTTTAAGCTCTGCATATTTGCTTATCTTCTCGCCTATTGTTTTTTGTAAGTTATGTGTGTTGGGTATTGCAATATCTATTAGGTAGGTTATTTTACTTACTTTATCGTGTAGTGTTATGTCTGGTCTATTATAGTGAATGGTCCTATAGGTAAGTATTGCGCGGTCGTAGTAGAGTTTGTGTGTAGGATTTTCTAAAACTGTGTGTGGCGTATATTTGTAGTAGGGTGTGTTTGTGTCTTGTATAAGTTTATGTTTGAGTGCTAGTTTTTGATGAATGATGTTTGCTACTTGGTTGTGTTTGTGAGTGTAGTCTGTCTGTGTGAGAGTTGTACATGCCCCTGTTATGTGTTGTATTGTCTCTGGTTGGGTGAAGCACTTACGGCATTTGTCGTTGGTTACTGTGGGGTCTTTAATGACATATTTCCTGTAGTTTTTAGTGTTGATGATCTGGTCTTGTATAGCGATGATAAACCCTTCAGTTTCCGGGAATAGGTTGCCAATTTTAAGCCATTTATTTGATGCTACTGAATCTACATGTGGTTGTTCCAGGTCATGTGGGTGTCGTCCGTGTAGGACTTTCTTTTTCCAGTCCTCTAACTTTTGTTTTTGTGGGTCATTAGTGTTATTGTGTTGTGTATCTGTTTGTTCATTTAGGTTAAGTGGAGTGTAGTTAAAATCATTTAGGGCTACGGCTTTATGGATATCACTAGTGTGAGATTTATTGTGAAAGAATGTTTTGAGGCTATTAATTTGTTTCTGCCAAAGGTGATGAATGTCTATTAGGCCTCTCCCTCCATTTTGTCGTTTTATTGTGAGTCTTTCTATTGCGGATTTAGGGTGTAAATTATTGTGTTTTGTAAGTGTGGTGCGTGTGGTTCTTTCTATTTGCTGGATGTCAGTTTTAGACCATTTAATCACTCCAAACGAGTAGGTTAATATTGGGATCACGTAGCTATTTAATGCTTTAATTAGATGTTTTCCAGCGAGATGTGTTTTGCATACTGCGGTTACTCTCCGTTTATATTCCGTATTCAGTGTGTGTTTAATTGCTGTATGGTCTAGTCCTTTGAGTTGTTTGTATCCTAAATATTTATATAGATCTTTCGGTTCCATAGCAGTGATTGTATCAGTAGTGTTAATTGTATAGTCGCCTGGTTTTATTTTGCCTCTTATTATGTGTAGTGTTTTGCATTTATCTAGTCCAAACTGCATGTTGATGTCTTTACTAAATTCTGTTATAGTGTCTATTAATTTTTTCATTTCTTTTTCTGTTTTTGAGTATAATTTAATGTCATCCATATATATGAGGTGTGAGATAGTGATATCTTCTGTGGTGTTGTGTTTGAGTCTATATCCGGCTTCGCACTGATGCAGTAGGTGAGATAGAGGGTTCAGTGCGAGGCAGAACCATAGAGGACTCAGGGAGTCACCTTGATAAATACCTTTCCTAATAAATATCTGCCGAGTTCTTACGATATTGTCGTGGTAATTCAATTGGAGTGTAGTTTTCCAGCGGGACATGATATGATGTAAGAAGTCTATTATTTTTGGGTTTATTTTGTATATTCGTAATACTTGAATTAACCAAGAGTGTGGAATACTATCAAAAGCTTTTTTGTAATCTATGTAGGTACAATGAAGGTTTCTATTTTTTGTGGCAGCATGTTTGTGGACTATTGAATCTATAATTAATTGTTCCTTGCACCCCATGTGGCCTCGTCTGCACCCTTTTTGTTCTTCCGCTATTATGTTGTGGTTTTCTATGTGTTTATTGATTTTAGCAGTGATTACTGAGGTTAGGATCTTGTATATTGTCGGTAGGCAAGTAATTGGTCTGTATTGGGACGGTTGTGGAGAGTATTGAGACTTCGGTAACATGTAAGTTATTCCTGTTGCAATAAATTCAGGTACATTTTGTTGTCCTAAAATTATGTCTGTTAAGTTTTTAGCGATAATTTTGTGTAATGAGTCTAGTTTTTTGTACCAGTAATTATGAACTTTATCAATGCCAGGGGATTTCCAGTTGTGTAGTTTTGCTGTAATACTATTTATATCAGATTCAGATATCTCTATGAATTCCATTTCTTCTAGTGCGCTCCACTTAGATTCTTCATCTGCTATCCAACCAGCTTTATCATTATGCTGCACTTGTTCTTCCCATACACTTGACCAGAATGTTTCCAATTGTTCTGATGTTGGTAGTTCGGTGTTGGTGTCAGTTGTTACGTCTATTTGTGGTTTCTGTAAATTTCTATAAAAGTGCTTTTCGTTAGTAGCAAACATGGCGTTATCATTTTTGCGTTCTTGTGCCTTCTTGTATCTTCTCATCCTATGGACTTTTAGCGCGAGCTTCTGTTTTAAAGTATCTAAGAATTCTTCGGGTTTTCTATTGTCGTTTTCATGTCTCGTGTGGGTGGCCATGTTTTTAAATATTGCCTCGACTCTTTTGACTACTTTGTTAGATCTGTTATTGTTGATATATTGTGTTAGTCTACCGCAATCAGCTCGCAATTTTTCTATATCTCTTTCGAGTCTCTGTTGCCAAGCTGGTTTGCTTATGACTTTTGATCTTGTGCTACCTGTGTATTCTGTTATTTTATAATTAAGTTCTTCAGAAATGACTAACGCTGTGCAATATATCAATGTGTGTACATCTAGAAGTTGTGTGTCTTCGGATATATATTGGTTTAGTATGATACGATTAAATAAATGTACAAGGTAAGAGAGTTTTGGGGTGTATTTAAGCTTGGGTAGTTTTGGGCGAGCTGCTGGATCCATACCTGAATATTGAATTAGAGCGGTTTTCAGTTTGTCGTGTATTTCTTGGATGTACGTTTCTGATAACTGATTTTGATCGAGATTTCCTAAAGTCTCAATATCATTTTCTATCATTAGGGTTATGCTCTCGGTTTGTGTGGATATGTTCGATCTATGTATACTTTGTGAGTATGCTTGTGATTGATTGTAAGATTGAGATTGTGTGTTATGTTGCATTTGAGAGAGTGATTGTGTTGGTATTTGTAGAGCATTTTCATTTGGTGTATGCGTTTCTGGAATAGGATTTTGGTTTAAATCTTGCAACTGTGCACGTACTTCTTCTTTTAGCTGATCTATTACTTCTTGAGGTAAAAGTTTATTTCTTACTATTGTCCTTCTTTGATCGGAAATACGTTGTTCTGTAACACTTATTTCTGGGTATTGTCTTGTAAAACGTTCATGCAATTGCTGTCTGTATGTGGTCATGTCGGTCTCTAATTTGGTGATGTGGAAGTAGGTTCGCATGATAAATATGTTTACTTCCTTACTCCATCTCATGCGAACTCTTGCTTTTCCAGCCTTGGTGGACGCGGGTAAGAAGGTAGATACCCCCCGTGCAGCATTCAAGGTCGAAGTGGGTGGAACTGTATTTAAACTAATGATGGAGGATGATGAAAGTGTTGGTGACGATGGTATGGATGGTCTTGAGGGTGTGTATGATACTGTGCTTGTACTATACTGTTCTACAGGAGTGTCCGTCCTGTCCGTCAGTCTGTCACCATCGTCAATGATTTCGGCTGTAGCATCTTTGTCGGTGGGAGCCCGCCTGTTCAACTCCTCACCGCTGACGGTTCGCATGCTGAGACACCCAGCGTCAGCTCCAGGTGCGCCCCGGCGATCGCCCCCGGGCAGCGGCCCTATACGTTTACTTTTAGAACGAGTCTCCATTTTTTTATGGGTTTCCAGAGCCACGTTAGCCACGCCAGTAATTTCTCATTCGTGTGTCCGCCCCCCACGTGATTAGATGGTCAATCAGGACGTGTGGTTGTTTAGGGGGCAAGTTAGTTATTATTATTATTATAATTATTATTATTAGTATTTTAATTATTATTAATTATTATTATTTATTATTATTATTAATTTTATTATTCTAGGAGCTAGACGATAAAATATTAATTTCTTTCACATGATGTTATATGAAAGCTTTGGCCCATAGAAACACATCTATCATTGATTAAGAATCAATATATAGATGCGTTGTTACCTTATTGACTAAGATACTTTGGCCTTTAAAAGAGTCTTTGATTCTCTACACTCAAAATACGGAACAGCAATATAAAGCTGTTGGAACAAAGTTCTTTATCGGATGGTACGGGTTTGGCGGATGGGAGCTAGGCGACAAATAGTGTAAGATTTTTTCGTCACTACCCCTTGTGTCATAGTGTAGACGGGCTTGGTGGCGAAATAAGGAAGTGAGATGGAATAATATCCATCTCCCTCATACTTTTTCTTATCATGCCATGTAAGAAATATTATTTTATTTCAAATGAAGCTTCATTTTAATAGACACTAGTAATTCATATATTTGACTTTGTTATTCAATAATATAATACCTACGTTTATCAATAATAAATAATAATAACTTCGTTCCAACTGAGTGTTCCACGACACTCTAGATTTTGTTTCTCATTTTACACTATTGTTATGTAAGAGTGTGGTTCTTCCCTGGTCGAGCCGACCCACTGAAGACAATAAAACAGTGTGACTATATAATAAATAACACGCTAAATTATGCCCTCCAATATGTAGTAGTGAAATCCATCCTAAATGAAGCTAGGTCAGGTACTAGTAAGTCTACCAGGCTGGATATGAACTCTTCCCTTTTTGTCGTAACTGTTACTTTACTCTTCGTAGCTGGACATGGAAATCTGGCATAAACAAGCCGCAAACATTCGCTAAATTAAAATAAAATTTAAAAAAATGTTTTCACTATACAAATAATTCACTCATTACAGCATTATTTTAACAAGAATTACCACATAATATATTATATACTTTATAAAATTGAAGTTATAAACGAACCAACTATCCCCCTGATGTTAAATGGCTACTAACAGCCCTAAGACATCTGCAACCAACTTCAAACGAAGAACTTAGATGGAACACCTCGTATACTCTTATTATACTGGCTTTCTATATTCCCTTCAGATCGGATCAAACAACTGAATTAAGTAAGAGGGTGGCCGACCTACCCACCTAGTCTGAAAAGCAGTCCTACTACTAGTATAAAATTATAAATAGTGGTATGAAATTATTAATAATAGTAGGTATAAAGTTGTAAGCATAGTATTATAAATTTCACAGATGTTAGATAATAAATGCAATTCATACCGAATTGCATTTATTATCAATTGCTTATTCAAAACGGACTTCATTTTTAGGGCACATAGTTTTTTTTTTTTTTTTTTTTTTTTTTTTATAGAATAGGGGGCAAACGAGCATGCGGCTCACCTGATGTTAAGTGACTACCGCCGCCCATGAACAACCGCAACACCAGGGGAATTGCAGATGCGTTGCCGGCCTTTTAGAAAGGTGTAAGCTCTTTTCTTGAAGGTTCCTAAGTCGTATCGGTTCGGAAAATTCGCTGGTGGTAATTGATTCCACAAAGAAGTTGTGCGAGGGAGAAAACTTCTTCTAAATCGCACAGTGGTGGACCGCCAATCATCCAGATGGTATGGATGGTAACGCGAGTTTTGTCGCGACGTGCGATGGTGAAATTGAGCGGCTGGAATTAGTCCGAACAATTCCTCAGAGCACTCCCCGTGATAGATGCGATAAAATACGCAAAGAGATGCAACATCTCTACGCAGTGCCAGTGTATCGAGCCGATCGGAAAGAACTCGGTTGTCGACGATTCGAATCGCTCTGCGCTGGATGCGGTCAAGTGGAAGGAGCTGGCACTGGGGTGCCCCGGCCCAGAGATGAGAACAGTATTCCATGTGGGGCCGAACTTGCGCTTTGTAAAGTTGCAAGCGATGTGCCGGCATGAAATACTGTCTCGCTCTGCTGAGCACGCCAAGCTTTTTAGAGGCCAATTTGGCCTTCCCTTCCAAGTGACCACGAAACTGCACGCTATTCGATATGTCGACGCCAAGGATTCCGATACTGGCTGAGGCAGCAAGGGGAGTGCCTTGAAACTGAGGAGATACGACAAAGGGGTTCTTTTTAGCGGTAAACGCGCAAACTTGTGTCTTCTGGGGATTGAACTGGACTAGATTTAGTCGGCCCCAATCCGAGACTTTGTTAAGCAAAGACTCGACTTCAGACACAAGTTTGTCCCGGTACTCGGCGACGTTTTCCCGAGAAATATTGGCACGGCCGGTATATAAGGCATCCCCAGTGCTGTCGTCTGCATAGCAATGAATGCTACCAGTTAGCAACATATCATTGATATGCAGGAGAAACAGCGTTGGTGATAGCACGCAGCCTTGTGGAACACCAGCGTTGATAGGCTTGTAATCAGAGCATGCACCGTCTACTACGACCTTGATGCTCCGATCAGCAAGGAAACTGGTGATCCATTTGCACAATTTCTCGGGAAGCCCATAGGAAGGAAGCTTCGAAAGAAGCGCCTTGTGCCAGACCCGATCGAAGGCCTTCGCTACATACATTACATAGTTATTTAAGGGCTTTCCACATATTTGATAAATCATACTCGTACGTGTCAATATTACCACATGTTGATAATCAATTGGATACATTTTCATTTGAAATACATTTCCCAGAAATTAAATACTGTCATTACCCCGTGCAGTGGCGGGTAAGAATACTCACTACCCCATATCTTCCCGTGGGTGTCGTAAAAGGCCACATAGGGAAACTGAGGCAGAGGATGGGCAGCAGCATCTTTCTGATAACAGCAAAACAACAATAAAAAAAGGCGGTTGCCAACCCGCTCGACAAGCGTGGCAAATATGGCAATATAACTCCTATGAATGTAATAAAGAGGCGGCCCCGCTATTCCTGGCTACGGTGGCGACCATAGTAACGGAGGGGCAGGGATGCTAAGAATCTCCGGTGGAGGTTCGGTTGCCACCTACGACGACTCGATCGGGCAACTTATAAGGCACGCACCCTGAGGACTGACGAGAAGATCCTGGAGCTGGAAGAAGAGTTAGACAATGATATCTCAAGGATATCTCTAAAACCATGCTCCAAAACCCACTATACGGTGTTAACACTAGAGTACACGCGCGGCCTACTATAGTAGACCAGGGTAACTCTTTTTGCAATAACTTTTTAGTTTACAGAGCTAGAAGCTAGTGATTCCAGGTAAGCCTCGTCTGGTATATTTGTCACAACCTTAGTACCCCGCCCAAACCCAGCGCGTACGTATGCACAAGCAATTTGGCGCCAAAAGCGTGGGCCTACTAAAGTAGTCCGCGCGTGTATTGGTGTACCAAATTCAGGTATGTAACTTTTGGTATATTATTGATTTATAACGCTATTATAATATTCTTTACTTATTAATAATGTATTTATGTGTATGTATATTAAATTATTATTATTTATATATTGGCTACAATTTGTAAAATGTATATTTTTTCTTATTTTAGCATTTTTTACAGATTTATATATTGGATTACATCATGAATAATTCACAAGTGGACAGGTGTCTCCATGAGTTAGATAATGAAGATGAAAAAGTGATTGAGAGTGAAGATGATGAAGTTCAGCCAGAACCAGACTTGCAGGCCCTAGTTCGCGAGTCAGAACTCCGTGAATATGACGAGGAAAGATTGAGTCAATCTGACGAAATATCAGGTTCAGATGACGTTTCACTCTCACAACTAGCAACCAGAAGGCGCGGTCCAGTCTATAAGTCAACGAACGGAACTATTTGGCACAAAGATATTCGCGAAATGGACGGCGTAACATAAAGGATTTTTGGGATAAGACTCTTGTGGCATATACAATTTCCAAACCAGTACGTTTAGAATAGACCCGAAATTCCTAAGGAGTTAAAGCTTCGAAGTCTAGGACTAGCAAAAGTTTTCTTTTTGGATTTAAAAAAGACGCTACACTTGTGTCCTACATTCCTAAAATAAACAAGGTAGTCAACTTACTGTCTACAACGCATTATTACTTTTTATAATCGTACTCAACCTACCCTCTCTCGTAATATATCTGTACTCGTAATGTCTACATCACATTTGGTGTAGACATTCTAGACAAAATGTGCAAACAGTTAGTGTTCAGCGTAATTGCCGTCGATCGCCGCTAGTAATATTTTTTGATTTGATAAACATTGTTGGAATCAACGCTTTGGTAATCAACCAAATGAACACCTCTGTCGAAAAAAATGTCAGGCGTAACTTTTTGCACGAATTTTCCTTCATTTTGATATAACCGCTTTTGATTCGCCGTGCATCAATTGAAACACTTCCACTACAACTTAAATTCGGGATAGAAGCACTTTTGGGCAGCACAGTTCAAGAAACACAAAGAGTCTCAACATGATTTGACTTCAAAGATAGGACTAGTTGGTTGATGTGCACTCTGCTCGAGAGCCCGAAATCGGTCGACAAAAAAGTCGTGCAATACTTGCAATAAATAGATTTGTCCCGATCACCGAGGAGTGGTGTGTCCTGAACGCTACGAAAACAAATAAAATAGTAATAAAGTTTAGTTTTAAATTAAAACAAAATTGTGTTGATCTCAGAAGTGCCATTTTTTGCCTTTTCTTATATAGCTACTAAATTGTTGATTCTTAATAGTTTCTTAATCATTTATCTAAAAAGTAAGGTTATAAAACTAAGTAAAATAAAAACCTTTTCCATTCCATTTGTTGTTTTAATAAGATAATTAGGAATATACAAGTTATTGACATTTTAATATGGCCTACTATAGTAGGCCACGCGTGTACTCAACTAAAAAAAAGGGGCGCG